TCTACCAAATTTTCCTTGATCCTTTCTTTCCCCGGAGATATCAAGGTTATTTATAGCTAAATCCACAGCTTTTTTGGTTTAAATTTTGAAAAAGTTATACGTTACGATGTTTTTGCCAAATTCGTCTTAGCATCCTCTAAAAGATGGGTGCTAAAATATTGTAGGTCGATCTACAACAACTCCGGGAAAAAAAAGGAATAACAAAAAGTTTGGTACAATCATCTTATAGCTCTCCTTGAACCGTGTTATTTTAGATCAATAAGTTTTCAATCGAACTAATAGCAACGGAATAAATTTAACTGATCATGTCGCGTGGTCCTGCAAATGTCTGGCATTTTTCGGTGCTGTTGAAAATGGGTACTTTGTATGTTTTACGGCCTTGTCCGTTTTTCAGGTAAGTCGGCCCTTGCAGCCCGTCTGCGGGGCACGTGTGCGCTAAACGCGCGTCGACTCGAGTCGAGCAAATTTTGACTCGAAAGTCCGTTACACGCGGTGTGAGAACGGATTGGTTATTTATGACCACTAAGGATTTTCCGACCCACACAGTTTGCGTGTCTTCCGCGGTTTTTTAGTTAGCCGTCTGTGAGTAGCTGACGAGTACACTCGTTGTCTCTAAGTTACGAGCAAGCCTGTATATTAGATCTTGTGTTTCTGTGTATGTTCAATAAATATACTTTTACCTAAAACTCTGTCTTTAATTATTTGCAAGCAAATAATCAACAGGTCCATCTTGTATAATTCGATGTTATTTAAAAAGCTTCGACGTACCATTGCACATCAGGCGGAGGATACGCGTCTACGTCGACAACCAACTCCATTGAATCACCAATATTGCGTTTGTAGTATCTATTCGGATTCGTAGTTGTTAGCTTGATGAATGGATCGATCGACTCTAAACATTCAATAAGCAGAAGCTGTAGAGGATGATGCTGGTCTTTTATAAAGAGCGCGTCTAGAACGCGCCATCGTTGTCTTTATCGTATACAAGGATTGACGAGAAAGTAATTTCGGTTTGCACCAATGGATAGCGTTATGTTTGCATTGTCATTCTTTTTCTTAATGTTATAATTTGTTGTCTTCAGCTTTGGTGGTTACTATAGAAACAAATTCCTTTTAGTTCTGTTTACAAACGATAGTTTCCTGTCAATTTTAACATGTGCAAAAATGTGCGAAAATGAACATTTTCGACACATTTTACGTTTTTATTTTCATAAAGGCAAGAAAGTGGCTGAGGCTCGCATTATTTATTATTTATTTAATATATATATTTATTTAATATTATTATTATTATATATTTATTATTATTTATTTGATATATTAGGTTATATATTATTATTATATTGGTTATATTATATAGCCCCTACCTTGCACACCATCGGATTATCATTTATTTCGAAGTTTACGAAACTTTTTAAATGGTAAAAATTTCAATAATAACGATAGCCTCGAATCGCACTTGATTGAGTTTTTTACCGGTAAGGACCAGACATTTTATGAGCCCGGAATCATGATGTTTTCAGAAAGATGGCAAAAGGTCATCGAACAGAATGGAAAATATTTGACCGATTAAAGTTCGTTTCTGGTACAGAAAAAATTGAGTTTTATTTCACATTGAAATACCGAAATTAGTTTCCTGCCAACACAATATTTTGTGTCTGCGCGCGTGTATTTCTGCGCGTAAATTGAAGCACCAAATATTGTTATTTAGATTTACATTATTGTTACTATCGTCATATTTCACGCGGAACGTCACGATCGTACATACCATGGACCTGGACATACGTCCGCGAATTTTTCTCATAATTCTTGTCCTTCACCCTGCACTGATAAATACCTTCCTCCGTGTAGGTCACGTTTGTGACCCTCAATAAGGCCATTTTCTCAACCATGCCACCACCTCCAATATTCTGGCTAGCGTTCCAGGTAGTCACTTTGAAGCTCTGAAATAACAAAAATTGCCACGTCGAATTTAACTCGGACGGGCGTGGCTGGCGTAAATGAAACTTATACGCGATGGTAGATACTTGTTTCCATGGAATCCAAGATGCATTGTAGTAGTTTTGGTCTCTCGGAATAGTAATGGTACACTTCAGGTACAGAGTTTCGCCCTTTTTTACGTGCAGCAAAGTATTATTCGCAATTCTCGGTTGGGGCAGTACATTGTCCGTTGATCCTATCGAGAGAAAAATGTACTCTCTCATAATTTTGCAAATGTTAAAATGACAGAACGATTGTTAAATAAAAGAAAAAGTACGTCTTCTATTGGGTTGGCAACTAAGTAATTGCCGATTTCAGTTATAGATGTCTCTCACTCCCATTTTTATGATATCCGTGAATGTTATATTATAAAATTATTATTATTATTATTATGTTATTTTTTATTATCCGTGAATGTTAGCAACTGGACAAATTGAATGCAGCGGTCAAGGAAAAGCGACCAGAATTGGTCGATCGTAAAGGTGTCATTTTCCAGCAGGACAATGCTAGGCCGCACACGTCTTTGTCCACTCGGCAAAAATTGATGGATATTGGTTGGGAATCGATGTTACACCCACCATATAGCCCTGATCTCGCGCCATCGGATCACCACTTATTTCGATCCCTGGACAACTCCCTTCGTGGTAAAACTTTTAACGATGACGACGCTGTAAAATCTCACTTAACTCGGTTTTCGGCCGAAAAGGATCAGACTTTCTACGAGCGTGGAATTTTCAAGTTGTCAGAAAGATGGCAAAAGGTCATCGAACAAAATGGAAAATACATTGCAGATTAAACTTCGTTCCAAGTGAACAAAAAATTTTTTATTTCATTCAACAGATCGGCAGTTACTTAGTTGCCACAACCCAATATATGGAAATCTTGTGAAATAGGTTTCGCAAAGGCAGTCTATAAGATGAACATCGTTCAACGAATGTACTTACTCGATACAATTACAAAATAAGAGACCTCTTGATTAGGACCTATCGTGCATATGTACCACTCGTTTTGAGTATTGTTGACTTTGTCCAGTGTAAATCCAATTTTTGGATCGAAAGCGTATTGTAGCACTGTCAGGTTGCCACCCTGCGCAATGTATTTTATTAAATGACTTATCGAACATTAACTGTACATATTATCAAGCGTGAAGCTTGCGCAATTATACTAGAACCAGTTAACTTTGTACATGTGATTTGAACAAATCAGTGCCGATCTTTTTTTTTATACATATGTTATGAGCCGAGGGGCCAGGCAACTTTGCGTGGCCGGAGGTTGGATGCGATTGGGATTTTTATAAGGATTTTGATGAGCCATTTAAAGGATTTTTATAAGGCAATGCTTGTTTCGGCACGGGTGCCTACCTAGAGATCAGGATAGGATTTGGAGAAATTGTTATTATATTTATATTATATATATATATTATTATTATCATTATATTATATTAGATAGAGAGAGAGAGAGAGAGAAAGAGAGAGAGAGAGAGAAAGAGATCAGGATAGGATTTGGAGAAATTGTTATTTTATTTATATTATATATATATTATTATTATCATTATATTATATTATATATATAATATAAATATAATAACAATTTCTCCAAATCCTATCCTGATCTCTTTCTCTCTCTCTCTCTATATATATATATATTATATATTATATATATAATATATAATATATATATATATTATATATTATATATATAATATAATATAATAATAATAAGAATAATAATAAAATAATAACAAGATAATATATATATATATTATATATTATATATATAATATAATATAATAATAATAAGAATAATAATAAAATAATAACAAGATAATATATATATATATTATATATTATATATATAATATAATATAATAATAATAAGAATAATAATAAAATAATAACAAGATAATATATATATATATTATCTTGTTATTATTTTATTATTATTCTTATTATTATTATATTGAATTGGCTGCCTCGTAACTTTGTAAGAAAGAGAAATAAAGATATACCTCGAGCGATGAAGGTATATCATTGTGGGTTTGTACCAACTACTGCTCCGAACTAGGAAGTGGAAATAATTGAGTTTTGTGACCAAAGTAAACTAGTAAAAGCTAGTATATTACAAGTTTTGGCTTTACTACAAATGTATGTGAATAAGTGTTTCGCGGACTCTATCGCACTGAACTCAGTTTATCGCACTGAATCGGCTGCGGCTTTTTATCTGGTATCTCTATTACCTAATCGATTATATTGCTCGAAAGAGAATTAAACTCGATCTCGTTAGCGTTTCTTCGTCGACGATCGACTCGAAAAGTAGCCCGCTTTCTGGTCGCGTTTGGGCCCTTTGTACACCCAGATTTTCTTTGGCGCCAGCCTGGCGTATTTTGTAACTTCAATTTTTACGTTCACATGTACGTCACGTAACGTCGATGTTACGTTACCTCGCGAAATTCATATTAACGAAATTTGTTGTACAATCGATTACGTACTCCGCGGAACTTTGTGAGCTTGACCTCCGCTGCCGGCGACGTTGGTCTACACGGTATGACAATGTTGTTGCGCACAGTTGTTAGTAAAGCATGCGAATATGCTCGTTCCACGAACTGAACTGTTTCAGCTGTAACATAATGATTCAACTACTAAATTGCGGCGTCCGTAGTTCGACACTGTGAGATTTGGGGCAATTTTTGCATAAACTTGAAGGTCCGAAGTATAAACTTCGAAGTCTAAAGTACACTTACACTTAACATAGACATAGACCGAGCTGACTCCAGGGTCGGAATAATTATGTCCGGTGGTCAGAATGGGATGATACGAGCAAGCATACCAACCAGTGTCACCAAAGACTGTGTTCGGTCGACGAAAGTCGTACCAGTGGGTGCCATATTTATCTTGGATTTTCTTTATTTCGACAGGCGATGTATAATAATCGATCGAATCAGACTGTTTTCAAAGAATACGTTACGATCATTTCACCTTTACTTTGCAAACTTTAACTTAAAACGATACTCTGTAAAAAATTATATTATGTTATTACTTTATTGCTTACATAATATGATAGGTTGGTGGGATACGTGAAGAAGATGTCCGAGTTGCCGGAGCAATTCAGCAGCAGAGGCTCGCCTTCTTTTATGAAAATCTGGTCAGTTGTCAATGATATAGTCGGTTTTAGAGCTGTTGAGTCTGAAAAGAAAGGAAAGAAGCTTATTCGTTCGATAACAAACGCGCAACGCATCTAGTAAATGAAATAAATGAATAAATACAATTCGAGCGAGACGATGATTATACACACGTTTGCTTAGATCAATCCGAATCTATACAGGGTATTCCAAAATTATGGTACTTTCGGGAAATGAGGGGTTCCTGAGGTCATTTGAAGTAACTTTTTCCTCAACGGAATTGCAATCTGCGGCTTTGTTTACGAGTTATTAACGGAAAACGCTGACCAATGAGAGGCGAGCGCGAAGCGGCCCAGTCAACGGAACTGGACTTCGACCGCTCGTTGGCTGGGCCGCTTCGTGCCAGCTGATTTCGCCTCTCATTGGTCACTGTTCTTCGTTAATAACTCGTGAACGATGCCTCGGAGAAAATTTGTCTAAAGGGAAATGACCTTGGGAATCTCTCGTTTCCCGGAAGTATCCTATTTTGGGATACCTTGTAGATCCAAGTGAATATTACGTTCGCACAGTTATCAACGCAAGCTGTACGTTCAAATAGTATCGTATCAATGTCATTATACTGTGGCTAATCAGTATTTAGATTCGTGTAGCTTAAAACGCTGCCAAACAAATATTTACAACCGATAAACATAAGAGGCGAATGATAGTTAGATATACAGTAATGTCTCTCTAATTGACGCTCAGATTGTCCACAAAAATGGACAATTTTGGAAGAGAAGATACGATTGTTCGAGCCTTGTTGCTCGTTTTCTTTATGGTTATCGATTGTCAACAACCATGAAAACGAGTTGCAAGGTTCGAATAATCGTGTCTCCTCTTCCCAAATTGTCCATTTCTGTACAGAACCTGAGCGTCAGTAAGGGAGACATTACTGTACAGTAATTTTTCCACGAGTGTCGCGGAATCGGAATTGTATTAGGTCTACCGGAAAGTTTTGTGGAAGAAAATAGCTTTATTAATCTAACAAAGAAACTGAGACAGAAGGAATCGATTTATTGATGAAAATCATTGAACAAGAAACCTACATTTTTCTCACGATAGATTTAAAAAACGTTTCTTTTTCACGAAGGCTTTCTACAGGCTTTTAGCAACCTACGATTTTGTTCATTTAGGCACGTATACACTGCCCAAACCAATTATCAATAACACAATGCCTCACGTGATAAAGGGCGAATCGCTGTATCTAAAGTGTACCATAAACGTTCCGATTGGTCTCGAGCACTACGATATATTTTGGATTCTACCGCAACAGGTATCTATCTCCGCATGCAAGTTTCGTTGGCGTTATTGTATTAGGTCTACCGGAAAGTTCTGTCCGTTTTTCAATTGAAATATAACACAATTTTCTTACATTTAATAATATTTATTGTAGAATATACTTTCCATCGTTACTTATGACTTCTTGCCAGCGTGATGGCAACTTGTAAATGCCATTTTTAAAAAATGATTTATTTTTAGAGGCGAAGAACTCAACTAGTGCTTGGTTGACATCAGCTTCAGTTTTGAATTTTTTTTCCTGTAAAAAGTTTTGCAAAGAGAGAAACAAGTGATAATCGGAGGGTGCTAGGTCTGGGGAGTATGGTGGATGCGACAGAATTTCCCAGCCTAGCTCTGCGATTTTCTGACGAGTCGCCAAAGCAGCATGTGGTCTGGCATTATCATCGGTAGCCATGTTTTCACGATCGCGTCTCGCTTAATAATGACACGAGACATCTTTGTTTCAGTTTATTTAGGAGAGTACATGTGTGTAAATGCAATGATAAAGAGAGATAGTCATATATGTCTGAAATCAACATGTGCATATGGATTGAAACTTGAAGTGACACTATCGGACAGAACTTTCCGGTAGACCTAATATTTTAATATTATGAAAGAATTTGTGGCGGATAGCCGTGAAGTAAGCAATCGCACGAATATGTCACTACCGTTTTCTATCCGGGGTAACTTCGCGTTCGTTTCGATACCTATGTGTTAGGATAGAATTGACATGTTGTAAAAGCACACATTCTAAGTTTTCCGGCATTCGAAAGTCGCCAAGTCTCGCCATTCTTTAAATCGGAGGTATTTAAATCCAAAGTTGGATATTCGTAAAATGTATAATCTTCTCGTCGAAAAGTGTACAGAAAATAATAAATCTCGTGAGAATTGTACATGTGTGTGAATGCAATGATAAAGAGAGATAGTCATATATGTCTGAAATCAACATGTGCATATGGATCGAAACTTGAAGTGACACTATCGGACAGAACTTTCCAGTAGACCTAATACCACTAAAATATTATTTTATAGTAGTATCATAATATTATACTACTAGTATCATATACTAGCATTAGCAGTATTGATACTAGAATAATACTGCTTTATTGTAGTATCATAATATTACTCCATAGAAGTGCAGTAGTTTCTTCGGGATTTGCCGAATTTCGGTATGCTGGAATTTGTACCTTCGTATATTGTTACAGCCCTGTAATTTGTCAATTTTCTCGCTACGCCGATGCTAAAGTTCGACTGAGTCGGTGAATAACGTGTACTTGTCTCCCCGTTTTCATTATGCTTTTGTTTTTAGCTGAACCTTGTTTATAGTCGTACTGTCCATTGGCAGAGTCACATTTCAACAAAGAAGATTTCTCGAAAGTGTTCCACTTTGTTATTTGTTTCGAATTTCGTAAGGCTATGAATTCAATCGATATTCGTGTGTGTGTGTGTAATTTTTTTACTACATGAGTATATACTTGGTGATAATGCTGCAAAAGCTGCACGCGATATAAATCAAGCGTTTAGGTAGAACACTGTTAGCGATCGAAAAGTGCAGCGTTGGTTTGATTTTCGGTCCGGTAATTTTTCCCTACAAAATGAACCGTGTGGAAGACTTCGAAACGTCTGTGAAAAATGATGCCCCGAAAGCATTGGTGGAAACGAATTCAACTGTATCTACAAGGGAACTTGCTAGTAGAATGAAAGTTGACCATACAACAATATTGCGACACCTTTCTGAAGTGGAAAATTGAAAATTACACGCCCATCACTTGTTAATCGGCATGGCGCAATACTTCTTCACGACAACGCTCGGCCGCATACGTCGTACAAAACAATTGCAAAATTAAATGAATTAAAATATATATATATAACGTGTATA